AGAATTTTAGGTTTTTGAAACACCAAATGACAAAACAAATATGTTTATGCATGAACACACATGCAGAGTATACAAAGTCTTTCTCATATGAAGGACACTGAATAAACTATGTATTGCATAGCAGCCACCAATAAATATTCTGAATTAAGTCAAAAATGTTTTATCAGTCTTAGGTCACATTAAGGGCTCAGTTGTAAAGAACAAGCTGGACCTAAGCTCCACAACCAGGTAACCATTTATTAAGCTTTAAGAAATTCTACTATGTCCTCTGAGGTTTATGTTAAATTAAAATATATATTTTAAAAATACTTTCTTTTTACACATGAAGAAACTGAGATTAAGTGACTCATCTAGTTGTAACAGAATTGAGGTTAACGGATTTTGTGTTTGAGCATTTTGATTTCACTGTGACCCTGCAAATATGGGGAATGAAAAGGAATACTCCAACAGATACTTGAACACAACAGCACATAACACAATCAAACAAATGCCGCTTGCATACAAACTAATCAATCTAGCCAGGCAGACAGGCAACAAGGAAAGCCCAGGTAGGTAAATGACAAATGGATGTCTGTGTTCAAATATTTCAAATGTAGACACTTGGAAAAGTGGCAAGAAAAGTGTTATGAAACACACCATTTAAAAATGGACAGTTAAGCAATACCTTGTTGGAAATCAATCCCAAGGTACAAATGACAGCATTCAATCTAGTGACTAGACAGAAGACAGGTTAATACAATGCACTTAAAGTAAAACTGCATTTTGTTAACAAACTGGAAATCAATATCAGAATTCAGTGCTACGGTAATCAGCTAGGTTGCAAAATGAAATTTAAATGATTACTTCTAAAAACAAAGAAATCTATAGCCACTGTAATCTACCTAGCACTGAATAAACCATAATACTAAAAAGTCATTATGGCTCTTAGGAATATTTAGAGACTTACCCAACATTTGTATAAAGCTTCCATCATTTAAAAACAACAACACTATACAAAATCATAACACACAACCACTTACCCATGGGATTTTTAACATGATGAACTATAAACATCAAAGCATGGATCTAGATCGGGGGCAAACTCAGGAGGACTTGCGGGCCATGTTTTTCTCCCAACTCTCACTATAGATTGCATCAAGCCCAGATACGGACATCCTCATATGTAAAGAGTTGTGTGCTTTCTTTTTTCTTTCTTTCTTTCTTTCTTTTTGGTAGCCATACCCTGCTACAAAAATCACCACCACAAATGGGCTCCAAGAACTGAAACAATTGATTTTTAATCAAAATATTTTTTTAATATTTTGATTTAAAAAACCACAACAACTATTTTTAAAATTTTAATGTACTCAAGGGTGGCTTTGAGTTTTAGAAATGCCCAGGGAGCCACTGAAAGCCAAAGCTGCATGTTACCCACTCCACATAAGTTACAACAGCTAGTTCTGCCAATAAAATTCATGAGAAAGACACACCTACCACTCACTAGTATAGCCTGTTAAGGGGGGGGAGGGTTTCCTGCATACTGAGGAGTGCCCCACATGCATGGCACTTATACCTAAGATGATGATATGGGCAAATTAGTAAAGCAATTGGTATATTAACTCATAAGCAAAGTATTATCTTAAAAACTCCTGATACAGATTGAGCAGGTCTCTTGCTCACACTCCACTCTCTGTTCAGGCACTGAAAACCAAAAGAAAACTGGAAGTTTGGGGGGGGGGGAATGGAGCATGTTGAAACAGGGCATAGCTGAGACAAGGAGCTGAACTACCTCATGCTTCAACATTTTATTGCCAACTCCACCTGTTCTAAGAGTAAACTCAGATGACTGAGAGCCTATCAGTATGGAAGAAAAACAGGGCCAGTCAAGGATGAGGTGGCGTTTTTAAATACATAAATACACCAGAACTCTTAATCTTGTACATTAAAATACATAATGTTTTGAAACCATAAAAAATAGGGGAGAGGAGCTTGAGAAAACACATGTGAGCTTACAAAATGTTGATGACGGAACAGAGGTGGAAACCTGTGGCCTTTCAGGTATTGCCAAACTCCTCCATCATCTCTCACACTTAACTTTACTGACTAGGGCTACTGGAAAATGGAGCCCAACATCTGGAGCATCACACATACAGTCTGCCCCATCTTAGGAGATACACTGCACCTAGTGTAAAGAATACGTGGCCAGCTACTACAGTAGGGAATCAGTGCTAAACAAGTTCATTCAGGATACAGGAATTATGAATGTATGGATTCTATTCTACTAAGTTTATTTCTATTGGGCAAACATGGGTCTCCTCACCCCCCAAGAAATTATACTCTATGCTAAGAACCAAGAGCTACGTTTAGCCAGATCAAATTTAACATCTTGTACATACAGAGTGGTGTAGCTTTACTTGAACTTCCAGAAAGGTTAGTATCTAAGGATAATGTTTGAGATCCAAACAACTAGAAGCCAGTTAGTAGGATGCAGTGCATTTGGAATGACAGATCTGCCAGCAAAGCAGTACATCAGGGCTGTGTGCATTCTATGATCATACTACAAAAGTGAGAAATTATCCGGCCAGTTCTCTTGATAGGACTCAAAAGATGTGAGGCATGTCAAACAGTGATTACATGTTTGTCAGAACTCCCATTAAGTTTACATCCTCACTCAAAGGTCAATGATACATGTTTTTCCAACTAACCCAGTGCCTCATAACACTGTATGATGCTAAGAGATGCGGAAGTGGCTTCAATATAAGGAAACACATAGAAGTGAATTAAAAAACTGGCATTTCTTCACACATAATTGTTACACAGAGTATTCACACAGCCCTGTATTTACCTGCATGCAATACCCCAGCAAAAGCTTCAATTCCCACCTGCTGTGCTTTGGAAAAACAGTGTATAGTACTCAACCCAGTGCTGAAATAAAGTTTAGAAGTTGGTGAATTAAGCTTCCCAGCTTATGTTAGGTTTTGCTCAATAACATACTTCTACAGTTTAACTATTTATAAAGAACAAGTAGTACTGCAGAAAGTTCTTCTGTTGTGAATGCCAAGAAGATTCTAAGGAGCTCAATCTTTTATGGAAATAAGTTATTAATGCTCTTCTTTATCAGTTTGTATAGACTTAGTGAAGACTGAAATGGTTAGTGGTTTATATTTAAATGCCTCAGAGTATAACAAGTATGATAGCCTTTCTCAACTTGACACAATTACCCTTATTATTCTAAGAAAAGTTTACTAATCAAATACCACAAAAATCAGATAAAGAAAATAACACTACATTGTCCGTTCAATTTCTGTGCTTCAGAAATTTGATATTTCACTTTTCAATTTATCTGTCTTACAAGTTTTAAGCTGGTATTATAAAAAAAAGGACCTTCACAGTCTGTCTGAACACAAAGCTTTGGCGGAAATTATATTTTTCTAGTCAGTCTATCAAGACCAGGCATATGAATAGAGTTTTTATACATTCATGCAAAAAGTTCAGAGACCATAAATGGATATGGTTTTCACTTGCTTAAGTTTACACGGCTTTTATCAACTCTCAAATGAGCACTCACTTCCATTTTAAACACTGACAACTCAATTTAGAATTTACAAAAATCCTAATGGATTGGAACGGTGGTCTTCAATGAGCTCCTTATTTTTGCCCTTCCCCATGTCCAATGGGACCAACTGCATCACTGTTTAAAAGAATGTATGTCCCTGGGACCTAATCCTGAAGTTTACAGTGAAAGGATCTTTCACACAGTTGTCTGACTGAAGGGGCAGCCTAGATAATGCCTTAAAAACCTGTGTTGGTATTTTATTGTGCTTTTTCTTTCATGTTTTTTTACTAATAAGAGTAGCTGAAATCCTGTTGTTTAGTGGAATAAATCATAACTAGATTAGGCACACTGAATCATAGGAACCTATGGAGAAACTGTTTCCCCAAAGTCTCTACTCTGGTTGCAACTAATATACTAACCAACAGTTTTTCACCCAGTGTCTGCCAGATTTTTGTGTTCATTTAGAATGCTCAGTTAAAAACTAAGTTTGTGAGACACTGACCAAGAATGGGAGTTCAATCATTTTTTGCCAATCTTCAAAAATAAATTCCTACTGAATTATAGTTATTGTTTTACCTAATCCAGAAGAATTCCATTTTGCTACATGAAAATGTTACGGCTATTTTATTTAGTGGCACCCAGCATTTGTTTAAAGAATGTTTGCAAATGCAAAGTCTGAAGGAAATGGACACTGAAAGCAATATATGGTTACCATTCAAATTACATAGGCACACAAAAAAAGCTACAACTGTTAACCATGAAAGAATGCACCACAAACATAAGCATTTATTCATTTTTTTACGGTTTAGCAAAAATGACAAAGTACCCAAGCTCACCAGATTTACCTTTTGTTAGCTTAGGCTTAAACATTACACATTTAGATGTCAAAACGTACTAAACTGCCAACATTCATGCACAACTAGTAAACATCCTTAATTTTGTTAAACCAGAAATGCAACATCAGTAACATACTAACATCATTCACTACTAAATACTGAAAGTCTGAAATTAAGTTTGACTCAGAAATGTTAACTTCACAGTAGATGAAAACTACTAATTGGCTCACATATCAAAACCAAAAAGAAAAAAAGGGGAAAAAAGCAAAAAGCAAAACTCATGCTAATATTCATGTACAATTTTACCCTACCACTAATGCAGGGTAACTATACATCTAGAATCATGTTTAATAAAAAGCGAAGTGCATACAGAAATATACAACAATTTTAAGGACAGAAAATGGTCCTATTCATGTGGTCCCAGCAATTAAACGCAAAAGTCTGACATATGAGCTCCGATGAGCTGTTTATAAATACTTTCGATTACATACAGTATAATGAAAGAGTTCATCTGAAATCTTCAAAAAATGTTCCTGTTAATCCTCAAAGGGTGCTCATTATAGCTTAAAATTTCTTTTAAATGCGTGCGTTGAATTACTTGTTATCCAAGCGTAGCGGCTGCTCCTTACCATTTATTGTTAAAGACTTTAACAGGCCATCTTCTTCAATTTCTACTCTCTCTTGTCCATTCTCAACAATTCTGCAGGACAAAAATCCATTTAATAGTATTTTTAAAATTCTCTGAACAGCAATCTAGTGGCACATGGATTTCTTGTCCATGAGATCATATCAGATGGTATCAAAATCAATAGCTACGCTGGAAAGCATGATTTTATGCAATTCTTAAAAAAATATTTTAGTTAAAGTGCAGTTTTAACCTGTCACTTTCTGCCTCATCTCACATTTTCTGTAATTAATAACTTCTATAAAGCTTGCACTGGGCATCTAAATCCAAATATCCAGCTAACTAAGATCCACTCCCTCAAACAGAGTAAGTCAAAAAAGAAAGACCAACCCGTACTGCAAGTTGTGTTATTAAACTCATATCTTTCCAAATTAATTCTGATCAGTTAAATCTTTATCATACTAATTTCCTCATACAAACAAGTGAGAGAAGCAACTAATATTCATGGCTCTGTATTTCTTTATTTCTTTAATTAAACAATGGAAAGGGACAGTTGCATGGCAAAAGAACTTAAATATATGAATTCAAATCACTGTACCTCTTTGTAGTAATTTTTCTGCCATTAACTATTTTGGTTGAAGTCGATACTGATTTGAAGTTACCCATGCCACTGCCACCAAATGATGTGGAGGAGAATGAAGTAAGACCTCCATGTCCCAAAGAACCAAATGAAGTAAAACCTGTAAGAGTACACAAGCAAAAGGTATCTCATTGGTTTAGAAAATGCTAGGCACTGATTTACTTCTCACTTATATTTTGTTTACCAGATTAATGTGCATAAAGATCAGCATTAATTGTCAGGGCACCATAAGCAATAAATTTACAGCTCCAATTATTATAGGTATCGCCTGAATTTTGGCAATACTAAATAATCAATCCCTAAGTTTAAACTTTTGCTGCTCTCAACGTTTTAAGAAACAAATCAAGATGTAGTGTGAATTCTCCATGTAATTTTTTTTAAAATATAAAGATATGAAGAAGTTGTGACTTATTTGTTTGGCATTACTGTCAGCCTGCTAAAGATACCATAAGGCAGTGATGGCAAACCTATGGCACGCGTGTTACAGCCGGCACATGGAGCCCTTTATTCTGGCACACGAGCCATAGGTCACTATTCCTCCCGCCCCAGGCTGCTGCCGCTGGGATTCCCCCTTCCGCTGCCACTTCCAGGTCCGTCGGCATGATTCCCCCTTAAACTGCCACTTCCGATTCCGTTCTTCTGGGTACATCGCTGCCGCCACTCACTGTCCCCCCCCCCATTTTGGGCACGCAAACCCAAAAAGGTTTGCCACCACTGCCATAAGACAACCCAGCTTCCACTTCATATACATTGGCTTGCATTTAAGTAGTAACTCTCACATCACATGGCAAATCACTTACAAAAAGTGACATACTAAAGCCTCTGGATGCAGATAGAGCTACTCCCTGCCACCATTCCATTCCAGCTCCCTACTTCCATAATTGTAACTCATCAACAGTTTCATGTTTACTCTTCTTATGAGTATCAAGACATTTTCAACATATGAACTAGTGATCTTGCTTTGTTCAGGTCTTGGAAAGGCCATGGCTTTCTTAATTGAAATGGCTCAAAATCTATGTGGTCTTCCTCTTTTCCTGTTGCTTTCAATACCTTTATGCTGACTGGGGCTCCTAAGAAGAACAGTTTGCAAATATACATAGTTTGAACATTGTTACAGAAGTATGTGAACATTTATTTAAATCTTTAAAATTAATATAAAATCATGTACCTGTATCAAACGATGAAAAGCCACCTCCAAAACCAGGAAATCCACCAAAAGCAGAGAAAAAGGATCCACCACCTCTGTTTCTGTTTCCACGTGGTCCTCGTCTATTACCAAAGAAGTCTTCAAAAGGATCTTCTGCAAATACAATTATGTGTTTGAGAAATAAGCTAATACATTTCAGTATTACACAATTTCACTTTTTCTCTACCAATAAAAATGCAAGACATTTAAATGAACAACCTATATATTTCTGCTATCACTCACTTTCCCCTCCTGGCTGCAAAATTGAGATGTGACTTTTTTTCCAGTGCAACCTTTGATTTGTCTACTCAAAAATATGTCTCACTGTGCTGGGAGAAAGCACCCCTAGTTTCAGTGATGCTTTCCGCCAGGACAGCAAGTTTTGTGACCATTTTATGCCATAGCAGTAAGCTTTATTAACAGAATACACTTTTAATCAGATTTGCATTAAGGTATTTACAAAGGTATTCGACCATTTTAAATACAGTAAATACTCCTATTTTTGTTATTATACTGCAACAACAAGAATAAATATGGCTCCAAGGAAATTATATAAGGAATATTGTGCCATTATTAATTTAAAATTAGTGGTTTCTAAGAATAATGGAATGTTGATTTTATTTTTGAGAGACAGGATTTAAATTTTTCTTCTCAAGCTCAATTCTACTAAAGGCAAACCTATTTCGCTAAGAAATTCATATAGCATACAGTTGTGCCGCGCTTAACGATTACCCCGTATAACGAATCCGCTTCACGACGATGTTTTTGAGATCGCAAAACAATGTTTTCAAAATGGCCATCGGCTGCTGAAAATGGCTCCCCGCTGTGTTTTTGGATGGATTCCTCGCTTTATAGGCAGCGAAAATGGCTGCCCCTATGGAGGATCTTTGCTGGACAGTGAGTTATTCAGCCCATTGAACAGTTTCAATGCGTTTCAAAGGGCTTTTTAATTTCACTTTACGTTTTCGCTCTACAGCGATTTCGCTGGAACGAATTAACGTCGTCAAGCAAGGCACTACTGTATTCATTTATCTCACTGCAAGACATAAACTCCTTCAATATTCTCCAATTTCTAAACTTATAGTGAACCATGCTCATCACATAACAATGTTAAAATAAAACTCAGTTTTATTGTCCCACAGACACAAAGGAGGATAGAGCTCAGAAAAGTAAATTTAAATATTTACAATAAGAACAAAGCTAAAGGAAAACAATTTAAGCAATGCAATTAGCAACGTTTGTATGAAATGAATTATTAGTGCAAGCACACTTGTCAGTATTAGTTTACAAACTTAAATGCAGACTCGTGTTCTCTCTGAGCTACTTAAGGATTTGGCATGAGTTACAGATTAAGCAGCATAACAAACTTTTCTGTGAAGTGAGGAGAGTAAGAGGCAAAATCTGGCAATTTTGGGCTAAATCGAGTTGTTGGTCCCAACTACAGTGGACCCAATGTATCATTTGGACTTCAATATTACACAATTTCACTTTTCCTTACCAACAAAAGCATAAGACATTTAAAATAACAAACAATATATTTCTTAATTTAAAAGTAGTTGATTTAAGATTCATTCATCAAGTCTACCTTAGTGGGAATAAGAACTAGACGTAGCCCATTACACTTTTAAACTAAAACAATGCAATTGGGCCTATTTAGGGCACCTACAATTTAATTTGCTGAACACAATTTCTCATCTCTTTCTCTCCCCATCCAGGTTTGAAGGAGATGCCGAACTGCAACAAAAGTAGCAAGAGCCACCATTTCTGAAACAGATTACAGTGGTGCCTTGAATAGCGAGCACTTCAATTAGCAACTAAATCGAATAGCAATTAGTTTTTCGGGGCATTTTTGTGCTTTGATTAGCGATGTTTCCTAAGGGGGATCTTTGACTAGCAATGGTTGGGACCATGCTTCTAATAGCGATTACATTTAGGTCCCCTGTTTTCGATTAGCGTTTGCTGGCAGGCGAGTAGGCGGGCGGGCTGAAATCACGTGGGCTCACTTCTCGCCGCCCCTGGCCTCCTCGCTGCGCGGCACTTCCCTGCACCGCCCTGGCTGGCCACTGGCAGGCGCAGAAGAGAGTTAAGCAATGAAGGGGAAGGGGAGGCCGGCTGTCATGAGAGAGGAAGTATGAGTCCCTTTTCCGGACTCATTTGATCTCCTCCGGTGGCGGTGGCAACGACAGCAGCTCTTCTTCCACCGCCAGCAGAAGCAAGCCGGGGTCTTTCCATGGAGGTGAGCGGGATGGGGCTGGGCTGCTGAGCCAAGGCAAGCCGCATCGCTACGAGCAAGCATGTGCGCCGGAGCCCTCCTTGCTGCTCTGCACCGCCCCGGTAGGTGCATCTGCAGAGGCCTCTTTCCTGCACAGGGTGTGTGGTGCGGGCTGCGGGGAGGGGGTGCAGATGCCGCCCGGCACCCGCTTGGGATGCCGCCCGGCGCAGGGAAGTTGTTCGCAGGGCAGCCCGCGGGGAGGGGCAGGCAGGCAGGCACCCAGCCCGGACGGAAAGCAGCGAGCTCAGCCCGCAGGAAAGCGGGAAGGAAGAGGCTGGGAGTTGCCTTGGCTGGGTGGCGGAAGGCGAACTAGCGACGCACTGGGCCTGGCTGCCTCTTCGGGCAGGATCCTGCTTTTCGGGAGCAATCCGCCACAACCCGCTTCCAAGCAATAGGCATTGCGGCTTCCCCGGCATCGCCAACTCTCCCCCCTTCTCGGTTTCCCTCTCAGAACTCAGATTCCCCCCCCCCTTAGATACACTGAATAGGTTTCAATGCATTTCAATGGGGAAACAGCGTTTTGAATAGCGATGTTTCTTATGGAGATTTTCCATTAGCGACGGCAATTTGTTCCTATGGGAACGGATTAACCGGCTTTCAATGGGAAACCGCGGTTCAAATTGCGATGAAATCAATTAGCGATGTTTTTTTGCAGAACACATTAACATCGCTAATGGAGGCACCACTGTACTCCCTGTTTCTCAATAGCTCAGCAACTTCCCTATTTGCAAAACGAAAGCAGGAAGACTTCTGCATGTAGGAATCATAAAAATAATCTCTGGAAATTATTAGCAAATTGATCCCTCTTTTCTCTAATCAGTTCATCCTTCAGAAATTTGCACATGAGCATTCAACTGCAAATGAAGATCCTGACACCATATGCTACAAAACAATTTTGCCTGGTTTCTAATTATATTCTTGTAAACTATAGCATAGTGTCCATAAATATGATAAAATAAAAACATTTTAAAAGGTAGTAGCTAGAGATGGGGGTACTCGTATTCGTATACGAATATCCCCGCACAGGTGGAAATAACAAGAGTCCCATTGGGGCCAGACTGTCCACTCACAATTTCGCCGCTGATGCGAGCTTGTCGGACCTTCCTATCGCACCATTGTCCGCAATCGATTACCCAGTCTTGGAAAGAGGTGGGAGGACAAGCCTCTCTGCTAGGTCGGAGAGTGGCTAATCCATTGCGGAGAAGAGTGCGACAGGAAGCCTCCGCAGAGCCGGTGGCAGCGGCGAAATCATGAGTGGGCAGCCCTCATGATTTCCACCTGTATGGGGATACTGTATTAATATTCGTATACGAATACCCCCATCTCTAGTAGTAGCTCATTTGTGAAAAGACTTCTCAGGACATCTCTAAATCAAGACTTGCAAAGAACCATTTTTCAAGTCTTCCCTATCTGTGTCAGTTTTTTTTAAATTGGAACACAAAGAAGATAAACACCATCTTCTCCTGTTGGATAAGCCTGATTTGTAAGTAATCAGCTGAATGGGCAACAAGGTAAGTATGGGTTTTAGTTACAGCAGGAATGGGCAAAACATAGCCCTCCAAGTCTTTGCTAGACTGCAACTACCATCAGCTCTAGTCAGTACAGTGAATAGTAAGAAATGCTGGCAGCTGCAGCCCAAAATCTGCAGTGTGGACTTTACTCATACCAAGCTACAGATATGTACAACTCTGCTTAGAATTCTGAATCCCTGTCAGATATAAGTCAAGAACTCCTTTGTCCCACAGCTAACCTAGAAATACAAATCCAGAATTTTTTTTCAAAAATATCAAAGCACTGAATACAATGAATTTCAAAAACAGCAACAGGAATTATCAAATGTGTAGCCAGAGAGAGAAAATTAGGTCAAATCTGCACTTGGTAAAGAAATAACCCTGATGATCTGAATCAATTAATTGCTATAGTCACAATTTCACATTCTACCTCTTTTAAACAATATTTCCTAAGCAGGTACACACGAACAGGGATGAGTAAAGATGAGTTGGCACAGTCACCCACTTCTTTTATACTGCAGTTCAATATAAATATTTGAATGATATAAATCTGAGGCTACCTAAGCCAAAAAACAAAAAACAACACAAAACAACACAAAACTATTTCTAAGTTTTACAACCCCACAAGAATAATGGCAGGGTTCTGATATCCAATGCTTCTTAAGTCCTGGTTTTTAAAGTTTTTATTGTACTTATATTCTACCTTTTCTCCAAGTAACTCGATACAGCTCACATACAGTATTTCTCTTCCTTTGTCCCATTATACCCTAAAAACTCTGATATCTTCTAGTAATGATTAAGGCTCTGGACCACTAGTCTGACATGTTTAACTACCAGTCAACACTGGATTTCACTTTGATTAAATTCACAGTCCAGAAAAATAGTCTATGTATAGGAACACAAGATAATTCTATACCTTTCTGCTGCCACTTCATACAGCCCAATTACTCAATTGCTAAATTAATTAAACTGAAAGGCAATAGCATAACATCCCAAAATTAAGGCATGTCAGAATAAATGTTGTTTATTAGTAATATACTAAATTACAGCACATAACTTTAGCCCACTTAGCTACCTTTAAAAGAGCTTCAAGTTTCAGAATGAGGTTGGCAAACTATCACAAATGAAATGAAAAATTTTGAGGAAAGCAATGTTTATAAGAATGTACATCTTTAATAGGCTATATTATTAGATAAAGCAACAGTTAACAGTCTAATCTGTTACTGCTAGTTAAAAGACTGACTCACAAGCAAACTATGAAGGTCACTTGAGCACACATGAGCATATTATATTACTCCACATTATTCTGCATCTATATATAGCCAGGTTTTTAAAAAAAGGTTACCTGAGGTTTCCTTAAAATTTTAAGTAAAGGCAACCATGGATTATGAAAATATTGTGTTGAGTCCAAAGACTGTTTGCATTTTTTTTTACACTGAATAACAGTTCACAAGGATTCAAACCTTCATTCCCAAAGACTCACTAAACTACTTTCTACTACTATTCCATAACACTGAGCCCTGGAAAGATTTACTGGTGTCAAAATTTGGGTTGTTCTTGTTTTTTTTTAAAACAAAACTTTATCCCATCCTTTAGCCTTAAATATTACAAATATGATTTCTATAGAAGTTAAAAGGTGGGAAATTGGACTTCAGATTAAACAATTATCCAGCAACTATAGGAAGAGCTTTGGTTGTACATCATTAATTGTACATTTTTGTTTTTTTGTTTTTGCCTGCTGTAAGAAACAATGCACCAGGTGCACAGGTCAGGTTGTTCTAAAATCAAATCTGTCCAATTAGCAATCTCAATTCTGTTTCTCAATGTGTGAACCGAGTGGAGTATTCTTGTTCTAACCAACATTCACTAATGCTGCAAAACCTTTTTGAATGCATCGATGTTTTGTTGTTAAGTGAAGAGTATTAGCAGCATGAATTTTAAGGGACCAGTTCTATATTTGGGTGTAGAGATATTACCCTAGAGTACTCAGGGATATGTTCTGGAAATACTCAGCTCAAAACATTTGGTATGAGGTATCTGGTAATTTGCAGAGATGAACTCTCTATGGAATGTAACATGCAGGGGAGATTACCAGACTCCTAATGCCTTGTAGCTCCCAGACCTTAGCTTCTCCCAGCCACTTCTTCCATCTTCATGGAGCTCATCATGGCTGAGACTGGGCTTTTATTCCTAAACTGTATGTGATTAAAAATACCTGAGAGGACTCTAAATTCATGCTTAGGGAATTCCTGTAGTACAAAAGATATGAAAGCTTCATTTCTGAAGGGTGCCATTCTGAGTAAAGTGGTACTGAGAATTTGCAAAAGCAACATGCAAACTGAATTATAACTACAAATACTCTGTACTATAACTAAATGAACAAGCCTCACTGCAGAAACAAAATATTTTAGATAATGTAAAATAGATGTATTAGTTCAAAGGTTTTCTTTCAGCATTCCTCCAATTCTGATCCTATACTTATTTCCTCTTCCAGATCCTTTACGATGCTCTTCTACTCATTCTTCTGACATTAAACTTAGGTCCTCCTCTAATGACTCTTCTATTACTCCTTCAGAGTTCTCCTCCTCCACTATTAGTTCTTCTTCTATCTCAACAGATCCTTCATCAGATTCTTCAAAAGTCTCAACTGACTCTTCACTGTATTCTTCAAACACCTCTTCTAGCGTTTCCTCCAGCTCTTCTGCTATTTCTCCTACTGACTCAAAACTATATGCTTCCTCCAGTTCCTCTAAAGACCTTTCTTCCTCTATAGATCTTTCTTCAGATCCTTCTTTAGAATCCTCTGATGGCCAACTGATAATCACTGAATAGACATCTAAGAAAATTACCAATGGTACTTGTCAATTCATTAAAATAACAATGCAATCCATCTTGAGATACAAAATGTTCAAATTCATCTATGAACTAAACTAAATTTTCACTGTCAAAAGAAACATCAATTTATTATGTAAGATTAAGATTTGTGAAATCAAAGGTATATTCCTTGAATGAATTAGGATTAATGCTATAGCATATTGCATATCCCATTAATCTGCAGAGATAAAATGTTTCAAATTAGAACTGAGATTCAACTAGGACTCTGTAAATGCAAGTCAAAAATACTTTGTTTCAGTTGCTTTCTGTTGCTATCAATGAATATGCAAGAGTTTCCTGTGCTATTTTTTAGAAAGGACTCTAAAGGCCCACTAAAATAGGTCTTGTTTACCATGGAATGTAATTTAACCTTTTGAAATTATTTATCTCCCATTCCCCAGCTTCCAAATTCCCTTTTAAAAAAACCTGTTTCTCACCAAAAGCATATCATGTATTATCTGTCAACAATGAGCCTGCTATACGAAAACATTTAAGCCTTTAAAATAAGCCTTTAAGTACAGTACAAAGAGGGGAATTATCTCCCCCCACCTTTAACTCTTGAGGATTTTACTGCTTTTCAACAATGAAGACAGAAACTGTTCAGTGGGAAACAGTACTGCATTGCTATGGGGTCAGCAAGTATACCTTCAGCTTGACCCCTGAATGAAGAGCTGGGACACTTCTTTAAATACTTCTTCCTTTTAAAAATGGATTACAGACTACTTGGTTCAATGAGGATGGTTTTTCTAATTTTATGAGGATCAGGTTACATATATTTTCACATTTATAATACAGAAGCAGACTAATTAGACTCTAGCTGCTCCCAAGCTGTGGAATCACCCAATTAATTAAGATGTCACCAAAGGTAGGTCCCTGTCAGTGAAAAACAACAACACACTGTTTACTTCTTATCGACTTGGGTGACTTCTCAAAATTTAGAACAAAGTATTCTTCAAACCACATCAAATTAAAATGCACAAAATTAAAAACAATAACATTCAAATACAGTGGTGCCCTGCAAGACGATGTGAATTTGTTCAGCGAAAATCGCAGTCTTGTGAAAACATCGTCTTGCGAATTCCCATTGGAATGCACTGAAATCCGTTTAATGCGTTCCAATGGGGAAAAAATCATCGTAGTTTTGCGAAAATCGCCCACAGAGAAAACATTTTGTGAAGCGCGGATCAGCTGTAAAAATCGATGTCTTGCGAAAAATGGTCCCGAAAACACTCATTTTGTGAGTTGCAGACTCAGCTGTCAAAATCGTTGTCTTGCGAAAATCGATCAAAAAAAAAAAAAAAAAAAAATCTTGAAAAATCGCTCACAGGAAACACTGTTTTCAGAAGTGCTATAGCGATCGCAAAAACTCATCATCTAGCGAATTAACCATTTTGCGAGGTAATCGTCTAGTGGGACACCACTGTACAAATGCATGCACACTCAAGCCATCTATAGAAATAAAAATAGCAACATGTGAACAATCTAAAACTCTCATTTCAAGCCCTGAAACAGAATAGCTTTAAGAACTCACTGGAAAATTAACAAAAACAATCATACATATTAAAAAGACAGGTTCCACAAATCAAAGGCCATGACTGATAAAGGATTGTTTCTTTAAAGTAAACAATCATTATTAATGTTAAACAAGCAGGAATTCGGACAGGTCTTAAAACTTGGGGCAAGTCTGTAAGGGTGGCATACAATTCTTCAACTGAAAGTGAATCGATCCCAAAAGCAATTAGGTAGTCAGGGTGGTTGGTGAAAACAGATGCAGGATGCTCCAAAATCTCTTCCACCACCAGCATCTACAATCTGCACCTAGCTGAAGCTTGAGAGCTGTCCTCAAAGATAATCTTACATACAGTGCATTCCAGTAGTCCAGTCTTGATGTAATCAGAACATGTATAGGTGGGGTAGAATGAAAATGTGGGCAGAGGCACTTATCAGCATATTATTGCCATTACTTTAGCCTAAGCTTCCACATGTTTTCTGTTAGAGACCTTCACATATGTGTAAAAAAATCTGGAAGCAGAACAGAATACTGCGGTATCCTGTAGCTTAAAGACCAGTGACAGGACTAAAGTTCTCCTGCATTACTGAGTCTGCTCTACCAAAAGTAAACGTAACCAGCTCAAGATACTAAGGGAAAGGAACACAGAAAAACATCACAGTCAACAGTATCAAAGAACATTGAGAGGCCCAGGAGCACTCCCCACAATTAGTTCCTGACATAAAGGAAACTGCTAAGACAACCAAGGCCAATCTTATATACTTAGACTTCATTCTACTATGACAGTCAAGAAATAAACTCAGACTTTGGGCATACTAGCAACATCATTTTGTTAATACCAAAAATTAGACATGGCAAAAGAGTAAAGTAAAAAGATGGCAAGATTTATTGCCATAACCTATGAGGAGATTTACAAGTAAGAACGTAAATGTGTAGGGCACTGTACAATCAGCCGAAGTTGAACCATTTTATATTTGCACATTTCCCTAAATTAAAAAAAGTGGACTACATACCAAAGAAATCAAATGAAAATGGATCTCTTCCACCAAAGAACTCCCTGAAGACATCTTCTGGGTTTCGGAATGTAAAGCCATAGTCAAATGGACCGTCAAAATGACTTCCACCTGCAAAAGAACATTGAGGATCACATGTCTGTTCTTTACAATGCCAATGGACCAATAATGTATTTTCCAATGTTAGGAATCTATTTTCATGAATCGTCTCACTAGCATTTCTGGAACACACTTCAAATTAATAATTTCTTTTTAAATGTAACTATGTGCCAGCAAGTCGATTCCCACTTATGACAACTATTTCCAGTGTTATAATGGGAAACACAAGGTCCTCATGTAAAATAGGGAGTTGCAAATGCTATTTCAGACAAAAGTGACAGTCTCTTTGTTCTCATATAAAAGCAAAAATGTCACAGTAGTTGCCCATTTTTCCAATGGGTATAATAAGATAATAATCATGTGCCATAAAGTCAATTCTCACTTACAGTGAGCCTTTTTAGGGTTTTCCAGGTACAGAATACTCAGAAGCAGTTTACCGTTCCTTTCTTCTGAGGGCACTCTGGAACTGTGCAGCTTGCCCAAAGCTACACAGGCTGACTGTCTTCCCAGGAAAATAAAACTCTCTATCTCTCAAGTCCACTACCAGATATTAAGTCACTGAGTTATCCATACAGCTAATTTCCTACTGCAGTAATTTTTTTTTAATTAAAATATCAAGGGCTGAAACAGAGGACATCTGTATCAAGAATCTTGGGACAATTTCCTAAGCTTCTGGAATTCTTTGCATTCTTTATTTAAATTCTCCCAAGACACTTAATAAATTCATAATTTGGTCGATAAGCTGGTTTCACTTCATATACCTCACAAAATTACATGCTGTGCTTCAGAATAAAAGAAGCAACTGGATTTTTTGTCTTTGTTCTTCAAAAATCCAGTTTCCATTAATCTAAGTGAAATCTTGAAGCTGTAACAAGTACAACATTCCAGCCAGTTTATTTTTTGTAGCTGGAGGGATGAGATATTTCCCACAAGTTCTAAGCCATGATGTGAATTAGCAAGACCTCCGATATTCTGATGGGAAATTATTAAATATAATATTTTTCATATTTTCATCCTATTCTATCAAACTGAGGGAAGCATATATTTATTTATTCAATTTATTTATTCAATTTATATGCCGCCCACACTACCCAGAGGTCTCTGGGCGGCTTCCCTTCCTTTTACATAAACCCTTACAGCACATCAGACAGACAGTGTTACAAGCCAAAGTCATCAAATGAGCTTCATGCCTGAGTAGAGGTTTGAATTTAGCTCTCAAGCATTATTACTCCTATAACTTAGCACAGAACCTTTGCAGCAACACAACATTTTTAGTTTGAAACCACGAGTTCATTTTAAAAAGTAAAAAGCAATGTTAAAAACATACATACCTCCTCCATTTAAGCCTTCTTTTCCATATTTGTCATAAATATCACGTTTTTTTGCTAGAAAAGACAGAACACCAGAAATAAAATTTTAACAAGATTTATTCTGAAGCCCTGAAAATGTATTTGAAACTAGGTTTATTTCTATGGAAATGGGTCTTCACAAGTGATTACAGAAGCTGTCTCTACCCCAAACAGAGGAAACTCCCGCAGCACAGAACAGAACAACTTATTCAGCTGGCTCCCTCAAATTTACAAGGATACTTCAGGGACCCAGAGAAGAACAAATGACATTTCATCAACCCCTTTTCTGCCATGCTTATTTGGATGCAGCACATTCTGTTCCACACTAAAATGAAAACTTTAGTCAAAGCCTCAACATACCACACTTATCATAATAAAAATTTCAAAATATGCCAACATAAATGGGCCTCAGGTTGGAATCTATATGTATAAAATTGGCTGTATAATTCTGATAGGGTAATGTGACTTCCAAATTGGGCTTTCAACAGAGATACAGCTGTAGTTGTTTTTTTTACAGAAGAAATTCATATTTATTGTGTTTCCTCGAAAATAAGACAGGGTCTTATATTAATTTTTGCTCCAAAAAACGCATTAGGGCTTATTTTCAGGGGATGGTGTTTTTCTTTTCTTTTCATGTACAACAATCTCCATTTATTCAAATACAGTCATGTCATCTGGTTGCTGCACAATGCTGCACAATGGTGGAGGGTGGGGTTTCACTTAACTGGGGTTTATTTTGGGGGTAGGGCTTACATTACAAGCATCCTGAAAAATCATACTGGAGTTTATTTTCAGGTTAGGTCTTATTTTCGGAGAAACAGGGTAAAAAGAAAGCAAATGTATCTTCATAATTTAGCAGTTTGAACTCCATCAAAAATTTCTAAATTATTAACATGTAATTATTTTATTTTTTACCAAGGTGTAACTCTTTCACAGGTCTCATGCATTCCTACACACTGAAAAATACTCATGATTATTGCTAAGGACTCACTCAGACTAAAAATGAAAAGCATGTTATATTACAGAAGAGAATAATAGACCTTGGTAACCTGAAAGTAATAAAATTATCGTGTTAAAACACTTTCCTGCATGCAACTTTTTTCAAACAAAAAGATAGTTTTATCACAAAAAAAAAGCCCAATTGTATATCTTAATAACTGCACTATTAAAGCCAAAGACAAGGTTTTGTAAACTATAAGCATGATTATATAATTAGGATAGTATTTAATAACAGACAGAACATGTGCAAGATGACTAATTATTCTTTGTAGTAAGTAAAAATGTTTAGAAGCATTCCTCTACAGATCATCGCTGTAACAGAGAGCAAAGATGGCCACAAGAAAGTATCAGAAAGAAAAAATCAAAGTTGTTTAACATATCCAATGATTAGTTCAGATTAACAGTAACATTTGCTTTGGCAAATAGAACAGCTCTAATGAATTAGGAAAGGGGAGCCGTAAACTTCCAGCATACAAAAATATTTTGATGGCAAGCAATTCTAATTTTAGGTCTCAAACTGAAATAACTGAAATGGTAAGAATATGGCTCAAGTCAAATTAGCAGTCAAACTTGTCACAACACACATTTGTATTTTCAGAACATATGTGATCAGAGACAAATAAACCTATTTGCACCCAAACAACAGGCCAGTTACTTCTCTCTTATCATGTGGCTCAAAAGACTCTAAACTAGAGATGGGGGTATTCATATTCATATAAGAATATCCCCGCACAGTTGGAGTTAACGAAGGTCTGTCGCCCCTGTGGCTGGACTGTTCACTCACATGTCCGCCCTGCTGCCGCCCCCCTCCTTCCAATTGCTCCCAAGCGCCGTTCTCTTCCCAGTCATCTAGCCATTCCCGGCAGAGGGAGGGAGGACAAGTCTCTCTGCAAGGCTGTGAAATGGCTAGCCAAATGGCACTTCGGAGCAATTGGAAGAGAGGGGCTTCTGCTGGATGTGTGAGTGGATGGTCCATCCCCAAGGGCTAGACTCTCGTTAACTGCAGCTGTGTGGGGATATGCATATACAAATATCCCCATCTCTACTCTGAACTATACTAAAATGATGGCCAGAAGACAAGAGAACATCAGACTGAGTGGTGTCTTTATTTTTTAACAGAACACATCTACTTTTAAAAATGCTTTTTAAAAATCCTTAGTTTCAACAATGACTTTGCCATGTGGCACAGGGGGCCTACAGCTCAAAAAACAAACAAACAAAAAACAGAGCTCCAATATTATTCTTAGCTTTCCAGACTTATCACTCTAGCTGGGCTATTCATCTTCACTCCTCCTATCATGACCTCTACCAGCAGTTCCAAAAAATACCAGATGAAACCACAAAATAGCTCTTTTCTGAAAAACTCTTTATAGATTCTGGTTTGTACCTCTAAGGCAACACTCTGCAAATTTTGTAACACAACAAAACTCAGTTCAGCAACAGAAAGGATACTGCATCAAGAACAATTTGCTAAGGTAAAAAAAACTGCACGGCCATCTATCTCATGTTACAAAAATTGGTTACATTTGTTAGTTGGCTTTGAACTGGAAACAAAAAAAAAAAAGAAAGCAATGAATACTGAGAGAATCTGGAAATAGAAGAGCTATGGGAAGAAGCTATATGCAAATAGCTGCTGCTGTTAAACTGGAAGCAACTCTAAAAACAAATCAGACTGTTGGTGGGTACCGGTTCTTGTCCTTTATTTTATGTTTTATATTATCAGCTGTTGCAGATCCTAATTCACAACATTCAGAAACAAAAAACATGATCAGCAT